CCGCACCCACCGCCGCCGCCGCCGCCGCCGCCGCCGCCGTCTTCGCCCTCCCCTTGCCGTACGGACTCGCCGCGAGCGCGCCGCCGCCGACCGCGAACGCCGCCGCCGCCTCCGTCGTCGTCTCCGCGGCAGCCTCCACAGCCTTCGCGGCGCTCTCCCGCCGCCGCGCCCGCGCGACAGCCTCGCGCGCTTCTCGCTCAGCGTACTCCGCCGCCGCCGCCGCCGCCGCGGCTTCGTTTCTCCGATGCTCGCGCTCCGACGCGGCGGCGCGTTCCTCCGCCTCCGCCCGCCGCTTCTCCTCCTCGCGGCGCGCGTCTTCGTCGACGTCGTCGTCGACGCCGCCGCCGCCGTCGCCGTCGCCGCCGCGATCATCGTCGCCGTCGCTGTCGTGAGCCGTCGACTTCCCCCCCGTCTCCGTCGCGCCCGCGCCCGCGCCGGCGCCGGCGCCCGCGCGCTTCCTGCTCTTCTGCTTCGCCTTCTTCGCCTTCATCTTCATCTTCTGCGCCTCGCGCCGCTCTTTATCCGCCGCCGCCTCGTCGAGCTCCGCCATGAGAAGCCTCTGCGTCCTCTCCGCCTCCGCGCCGCGCTCTTTCACGTACGCGCGCATGAGTCGCTCCTCGAGCAACAGCGCGAGCGCCGCCTCGAGGTTGCGCTCGCTGACCATCGACGACAGGTCAACCGCGCACTTCGGGCCGAGGAAGCCGCCCTCGCTCGCGTCGTGAAGCGCGGTGAGAAACGCATCAGCGTCGACCGTTTTCGCGACGTTCACGTCGCCGTCGACGTACGTCCGGAGGACGTCCCCCGCGGCGGCGTACCTCGCGCGCACGTCGCCGCTCCCGCCGTCCGCCGGAACGTCGCCGTTAAGATCCTTATTATTCACCCCGGAGGAGACGAGCGCGAAACTCCCGGGGCCTCTCGACGCGAACGCGGTCAACACGAGGACGCCAGCCTCGCCGCCGACGCCGAGGTCCAACACCTCGCGCCTCGTCTCCGCGCAGAGGTTCCTCCAGCACGCCGCGAGCTGCTCGCGCGTCGCCGGAGGGACGAACGGTTTGCCGTGACGACCGGATTTGCCGTCGAACCGATGCGACTGGCGGTGCCGCGCCAAGTTCGTCGTCGACGCGAACGCCCTCTTGCACTTGTCGCACCGCGCCGTCGGCGTCGGGTGCGTCGGCACCGGGATCGACGACGAAGAGAAAGTAGAAGATAACGGCGACAACCCGGCCGTTTCGGGTAGGTTTGCCCCGGACCCTCGCCCCGAGGACGTCTCGCTCAGCGTCGCCGACAGCCGCCTGCGTGGGTCAAGCGCTCGGTCAGTCGAACGTCTCACCGGTCAACCGTTGAAAGGGAAGCGCGGGTGAAGAGCGACGACGGGAAAAGTCCTCAAGGAACGGCGTGCACCACGCGAACGGGGTCGTATGGGAAGCAGTCTGTCTCACCGCTCGTTCGTCCGCTCGAGGAGCTGCGACACCGTCACCGGCCTCGACGCCTCGCGCTCCTCCACCTCGAGTCGCCACTTCGTCTCCACCTCGGTCTCGATCTCGATTTCGGTCGTCTCGGTCGTCGTCGTATTCATCGCCGCCGCTTCCTCCGCTTCCTCGTCGTCGCTGCTCGCGAGCGCGGCGTACGGCGTTCCGTTGGTCCCGCCGTTCCCGTCGTTGTCGTCGTCGTCGTCGTCGTCGGACGAGAAGAGCGTCGCCGCCTCAGGGCCGTTCCATACAAGCGAACGTCGGGGTGGAGTTCAAAGGCGTCAGTTGGAGTTGAAAGGCGTCGCGGTCGGGAATTGAAAGGAAGGGGTGGGCGGAGAGATGCGCCGGGCAAAGTCCTTAAGGATCGGCGTTCACCACGCCAACGGGGTCGTATGGGGACCAGTGTATAGAACGCACCTCCGCCTGCGCTCTGCTCTCGATCTCGCGCATCATCCCCTCCGCCGCGCGCGTCGCCCGCGCCTTCTCCTCCTCCGCCGCCCTGACGCGCCGCTCGCGGTTCTCTGCGCGCTTCTCCAGACGCGCGGCGGCGGCGGCTTCCGGGGACGCGTCGAAGTCGTACGCGTCGGCGACGACGATCCCCGCGTCTTCTTTATTCCCGTCGGCGCCCCCGGTCGTCGCCACGTCACCCGCCACGTCGGCATCCACGACCGTGACGCTGCCCTTCATGAACACGTACACGAGCGACCGGAAGTGATACGACCCGCACGCGTCGAACGTCCACGACCACGACTCGCCTGCGGCGAGCGGCGGCGACGCCGCGACGGGCGCCTCGTCGTCGTCTAAGGGTCGTTCCATAACGTCGGGGTGGAGTTCATAGGCGTCAGTTGGAGTTGAAA